AAACAAACAAACAAACAAAAAACCAAAAACAACAATAACAAAAAAAACCAAAAACCATAAATTATACAATTTAAATGGGTGCATCATATGGTATGTGTATTGTATCTCAATAATGCTTTTTTTAAGAAAAAGAAATATAACTAGTAAGCAAATATATGGAAAAAATTTGAACCTCACTGATAATCAAAAAAATGCAAACTAACTTTGCAAAGTACCATTTCACTAGCAAGTCAGCAAAATAACTTTTAAATATGAATAACCCTTTCAAGATTGCAAAGCAACCACTACTCTCATGTACTGCCAAAGGTAGAAGACATTAGATATAAAACCCTTTAATGCTTATAAAATTATGAGGGCAAAGAGTGATAGAAAATATACAAAAATTAAAATAAGTGACTGTTCTTTCTGGTTTCCAGACTTTCCTAACTCAGTTTTAAGAGTGTGACAGCTTCCTACTCCAGTCAGGCAGATGAAAGGCTCAAAGTCAAAGGCACCTAGAATGGAAGCACATGGCCTGGTTGGTCAGTTTCTAGAAACTTCTCTAAGGAAATATTACATTAAGCTATGAACTGTCACCGGCTGCTTTGGCCTGAGTGAAAAGGTAGGGGCGAATGGGGGAGGGAAGGGAAGAATCTGCCTTTTCTTCACTGTCTCACATTTTAAAGCCAAAAGCACAGCCACTCGGACCTCCAGAGTCACACCCTGCCTTTCTCAGCAGCAGCTCTGAGTGCTTTTCTGAGGATACCTGGTTTGAATTCGAGACCCACAGTAACCTTCATCTAATCCAGTTCTGGATTCATAGCCTCAGCTTTGCCACTGCAAGTTCCTCTTGTTGGGAGAACACGATCGATTCAAGCATCACCATGCTACCTGGTGAACCTTGATGAACACAGGAAATGTGGGCTGAGCACTGCAATATTTGGGAACCTGGTGTTTCTTCTAGAAACTTTAGCACTGAAACAGCCAATAAAAAGTTACAGGTGCCCCATAATTTAGCATTAACTTCTTTTCTAAAATAGGGTGTAAAGAAATGAACTGTCAGCAGAAGGTAAAGTTCCACCCTGGCACTGTTCCTGCTCAAGAAAGCCATAACCAGCTGGTTGGCTGATGCACGCAAAGGACAGAGACAGGATGATTTCATTTGCCAAAAGCAGGGCTCATATTATGATATCCAAGGGTGAAGTCATCTTTATTCCTATCACTGCACCACCAGAAGCTCCTTGCAGGGCAGATAACTTTATTTACTGTTGGCATAATGCTACCACCTGAAGATAAACTAATCAAGGCCATCCTAAGTCATTTCTAATTCTATCTGCTCTAATTTGATTTATTTGATTAAATTATTTTATATGCACAATTTTAGAAGTACTATATCTTTTATTCCCCTTCAGAAAACAAACTATCAGAGAAGATCATTAATAGATGTCTCTGTAACCCTAATATAACAGGGACACAAATATTTAATGCACACAGCTTTCATTTATTCACACTTTCTTTGGCCTCGCCTCCACATTGGCAACAAGGGGAAGAATGCCACACGGAAAGCTCCTACATGCTGCCCAGCACACACTGGTGCTCAGTAAACGCTGGTTCTCTAGCCCCAGGAAATCAGACAAGTCAGGCGGAATTAGCCCCACCGTGAAAATGGAAAGCTAATGCACACAGAAATAAATGACTGGACCGAGGTCAATCAGGAGTGAACAGAACCCAGACATAGGGACCCTAGGCAAAATATTGTTCCATTAGCTTCAGCAAAAGAAAGGGAAAACCAAATTCCCTGAAAAAATGATTCCATATACACTCCCCTAAAGATTCTTTAATATTTTAAATAAAACAACATGTTTGTAACATTCCAGATTTTTATCGCAATATCTGAAATCACCTAAGGTTTGGAAAGATTCCACAGCCAGGTGACACAGGAACAGATAATGACAACAAAGCCGACACTTACTGTGTACTAACAACGTACTGGGAAGTACATGAGTAAACCCGTTTTATCCTCACAATGGCCTTATGGACATTATTATTGCTATTTTATTGATGAGGATCCTAAGGCACAGAGAGGTTGAACAACTTGCCCAAAGTCCCGCAGCCAAGAAGTGGCAAGGCCAGGATTCCAACGCTGGCAGTCACTTTGCCACGTGCTCTGCTGCCTCGAGGGGAAGGAAGCCAAGGTCGGCCCCTCCGGAAACAAACAACTCCACCGTCACTGAGAAAGTCAGAGAATGGTGCTGCCTCAGAAACACGACGTGGTGCTTCCAGACTATGACAAAACATCAGTCACAACACTCCCAACTGTCTTCGAAAGTTCTCCCCAAATTTTATTCTTGCTAGTGAATGAAGAGTCAATACTAATAAATAAAACGCCAAAGGTCCTGGCAAACAGAAGTTTCTTTGCTGTAGAATGGCTGGAAGTGAAAGGGCAGCCGCTCGGTGGCCACCTCTGCCCAGCAGAACAAATGTAGGAACAGTACGTGGGATTTTCTAATTCACAGACTGCTCAGAAAGCAAAGCGCTTTTTGCCAATAGGCTTGTTCAAGGCTTTTACTTCTTTCAGATTCTGTTTCCCTAAAGTTTCTGTTTTCAATTCTGCATAATTCTTACTAAGTTCAAAATTAAGTCAGTTAAGTTCAAATTTTTAAAAAAGAAAAAGGCCAATCAGGTAACTCCTGCAGGGCACACAACTATCTTGCCACATAAAAACCCTTAAACTTCCACCAAGCCCATTGGTCACAGAAGGAAGGCTGTTTTCCCCCTGGACTTCTGATCAATCAACAGATAATTTCTTGAGTACCTACAACAGTTAAAACCTATGTTTGGCTCATTCAAACTCTCTCATTGCTAATATCCCAGCTAGCTGAAATCTGCAGAGGCCCAAAGTGGTTTCCCAAACAGGAAAACTAATGCTGAAAAATCAGAGCCAGAAATTTGAAAGTCATCTGTATATGCTGAGATTTAACCCTAGGCCAAAGAAGCTGCTTCCCCATGTCGCTAAAAGCTAAAGCTCGTTTGGTCGATTTCTGTACTTATCGAGCACTTACTACAAACAAGGGTGTGGGGGAATGACAGGGCTCTGTATCTGCTTGCAGGGGCCTGGGAGAATGAACTGAGCCAGCACAGAACTGAGTGTCAGGTGAGTTGAGTTCCAAAACTAGCTTTGGCCTAACTTCCTCTGTTTCCTTGGGCTCTCTCTTTCTGGGCCTCAACTTGCTTTTCAAAAATCTAATATCCCATGATCACCATTTCCCCCTGCAAAAAAAAAAAAAAAGATTCTTCTAAATTCTATGACTATATGAGTCTCCTTGATGGTCTGGCTGAAGAACCCGACAGTGAATGGGTAGTTATGAATGAACAGAACAGGAGGTGTACCCAGAGCTGCCAATTCCTACCTCATTAAAGACACACGTAACAGATGACCCTCCTTTCTCCCAGCAGGAGAAGGCAGCTCCAACAGGACAACTGAAAGTGAGCTGCAAGATAAGGGCCCCTAGTGGCCAGTGCTGTATAGCCAGCAAGAACAGCTTAGTTGGGATAAGCAGACTTCTCCACTGCCAAGCACCGGCCATCAAGGAGGCAGACAGTGGAAATAATGCGGATTTTAAAAGCAGCCTGCATGATCATTTCCCTAAAGATCATATCATAAATTCTGAATAACAGAAAAAAAAAAATCCCCTTCTCCTAGCAACATTTTGATAGAATAGCACTTTGACAAGACAGCCAAATAACTTCTTGAATTCCCAGATATCATAAGCCATGACTTATAGTCCATTCTGGTTAAGGCCAGGTCACATTCTACTCCCATCATTCTCTTCTTCTTTTGTGATTCTCACTCAACACTCCCTGCCTCCTGAAAAGGCAATTCTGATCCTCATCGTAAAGACCAACACACTACAAAATGATTTATGAAAAAAATTACTTCCAGTCTGTACCTTTATAAGGTAATAAAAGCCATTTATAAGGTAATAAAAGCCATCAAGACTTTGGTAGTCCCTCTCTATTCTAATCCTTATGGAAACAGAGACCCCAGAAAATTGACGGAAAATAATACTTCTGATCGTTTCCAAAGTCTCACAGGATTTCTAAACATTTTGAACAATCTCACAGGGTACATCTCTGTGGTCGATATCAGCATCCAGCCTTGGTTAGAACTCCAGGAAACTCAGCTAGGAGCAGCAGCTGCTAGGAGCTATTGTTATTAATAAAAATAAGTGACATTTACCAAGAATCCAATATGTTTCCAAATCTGGGCTAAGTGCCTTTATTCACATGACCTTATATAATCCCCACAAAAATGCCATGAAATAGGGAATATTATTATGCTCTTTTTACAAATGGGGAAATTGAGGCTGAGAGGTGAAGAAACTTAGTAAAGAGCAGAACCAAAAGACAAGAATCCTTCTAAACAAAGGTGCCCACACCTCCCTGGCCCTATCCGGCCTCTAGCCTCCTCTGCCTGAGGGTCTGAGCTCAGAGCTGCATGTTCACTGCTTCTCTGCTCAGTGGCCCTCTTGTCAGCTACTGGTTTCCATACCCCACACCATAGGCAAACCACTGACTGCTGGGAGAAGACCATCCCAGGGGGTCTCAGTGGACACACAACCTGCTCAGGTCAGTTGAAGTCCCCAGCAGGCCTTTGCCAAACCCCAGATAAACAGATGTTGGCATATAGTCCACACAGGTACATACAAAGTTCAACCCATTTTGCTTAACAGAGCAGGAATGATTAACCAGCTTCAGGGTGCTGAGGGTATAAACAGATGCACGCTATCATTTCTATCATGCTCAGAGGATGTTAAAATGCTTCACAAACACTGGACCATCTATTTTTCACAAGGTACCACAATCACTACCATCTTCTCCTTAGCATTAAGGAATATAAGTAAAGTTTTGCACCCAGGGGAAGACAAGTTGAAGGGGCTTTCTAGTGGTTGACTCCAGTTCTCTACAATCTGATTTGGGGAAAAAAAAATTGTCAGCTGGAACACATGGTCCTCACTTACCCTTTCTATCTCTTGGAGGTATAGGAGGGCGATGTCCCCTGCTTTCTCATAACAGGTGATGACATCCTGTTCCCAGTCCACATGGAGATTACTGGTAGAAGATGAAATAGGCAACTTCTCTAAACAAAGTCCTAAAAAAAAAATCGAACACAAAAAAACTGGGTGAGTTGTTTTTCACGATGCTTAATTTTAAAACACTGCTTTAGAGGTCCGGAAAATGGTCCTAGGATATCATGTTGTTTGCAAAGAAAGACAGTTTACTTCCTCCTTTCCAATTTGGATGCCTTTAATTTCTATGTATTGCCTACTACTCTGTCAGGAATCTCCAGTACAATGTTGAATAGAAGTGGTGAGAACAGACAACCTTATCTTATTCCTGGTCTTAGGGAGAAAGCATTCAGTCTTTCAACATTGTAAGCTTGATGTTAACAGTTAACTTTTTCATAGATGCCCTTTATTAGGCTGAAAAAGGTCCCTTCTACAACAAATTTGCTGAGAGTTTATATCAAGAGTAAATGTTGGATTTTCTCAAATCCTTTTTTTCGTGTCCATTGAGATAATCACATAACTTTTGCACTCCTATTTTTTTAATGTGATGAATTACATTGCCTCATTTTCAAATGTTAAACCAACCTTCCTTTCCTGGCATAAACCCTACTTGGCCATGATGAATTATCCTTTTTTATATTTTTAGATTGGATTTGTTAAAATTTGGCTTAGCATTTTTCATCTATGTTCATGAGGAATATTTTGTCTGTAGTTTCTTTGTAATATCCCTATATCTGGTTTTGATATCAGGGTAAATGCTAACTTCATAAAATGACTTGAAAAGTATTCCCTCCCCTTCAATTTTCTGGGAAAGTCTGGGTAGACTGGTATTATTTTGTCCTTAAATGTTTTATAGAATTCACCAGTGAAGCCATCTGGACCTGGACAAATTCAATTTATTTGATACAAGGTTATTCAGATTACCTCTTTCTTCCTGAGCGAGCTTTAGCAGTTTATATCTTTCAAGTAGTTTATTCATTTCTTCTGAGTTGTCAAATTTATTGGTATAGATTTTGTAATATTTTGTAATCCTTTAATATCTGTAGAATCTCTACTAGATGGCACCTCTCTCATTCCTGATATTCACAATTTATGTCTTTTTTTCCTGATCAGTTTGGCTGGAGATTTATCAATTTTATTGAAATTCTCAATAAAGAAAGATCTTTTTGATTTCATTAATTTTGGTTTCATTGATTTTTCTCTATTATTTTTATGTTTTCTGTTTATTTCCACTCTGATCTGTATTATTTCCTTTATTCTGAATACATTGGGTTTGGTTAAATTTACACTCCCTATTCTAGTTTCACGAGGTGAAAGCTAAAGTACTGAGACCTTTTTTCTTTCCTAACACAGGCATTTAGTGTTTTAAATTTTTCCCTAAGTACTGCTTTAGCAGCATCCTACAAATTTTGATATGTTGTGCTTTTATTTTCATTCAGTTCACAATATTTTCTAATTTAACTTTTGATTTCTTCTTTAAAAGTGTATTAATTTCCAAATATTGGGAGCGTTTTCCAAGGATCTTTCTTTACTGATTTCTAAATCATTTCCATCATGATTTGTGCAGTGAAGGGTTGACTTGGAGGCTTGGGATGATCCAACCCTGTACATTCCAAAGAAAGGACTAGCCCTTAACCAGCTCCTGGGAGATAACCTTTAAGCCCGTGGAATATCCTGCCTGATAGAAGTGTCTTTGTTTATCTAGGGCGTTGGGCCATGCCAGATAGTTTTATGCAATGATGTGATTTATAGTGGAAGATTGGGGCCATGCTTTATTGGTTTACACCCTGGAGGGGCTAGAGACTAAGTAATTAAGGTCAGTGATGTGGGTGCACCATGCCCATGTGACTGACCCCCAGTAAAATCCCTGGACATCACAGTAGCTCAGGTGATCTTCCTTGATTGGCAATACTCCATAAGTGTTGTCACATTTTGTTGCAGAGACAATTAAGCGATGTCCATAGGACTCCAATGGGAGAAGACAACTGGAAGCTTGACTTGGTCCCTCCTGAATTCCACCCTGTGTGCCTTTTGCCTTTACTGATTCTAATCTGTGTCCGCTGCTGTAATGAACTATAACCATGAGAATAACAGCTTTGCTGAGTTATGGGAGTCTTTCTAGTGAATCAATAACCTGAAGGTAGTCTTAGGGATCTCTGATACAAGTTAGAGAACACACTTGAATTCTTGTAATGTTGCTGAAACTTGTTTCTGGCCCAGAATATGGTCAATCTTGGTAAATGCTACAGTTGAAAAGAATATGTATTCTGCTGTTGTTGGGTGAAATGCCATATACATGTCAGTTAGGTCAAGTTGGTATACTGTGTTGTTTGAAGGATTCTACATCTTTACTGATCATCTCTGTCTACTTGCCCTGTCATTTATTGAAACATGAGTATTGAAGTCTCCAGGCATAACTATCCATTAGCCTATTTTTCCCTGGCATTCAGTTTTTGCTTCATGTATTTTAAAGTTCTGCTATTTGGTACATAAACTTTTAGAATTCATATATCCTTCTGATGGATTGACTTTGCTCTAAAACCTACTTTCTCTGATATTGTCTCAGTCTACATTGCATTGCCATAAAGGAATACTCGAGGCTCGGTAATTTATAACAAAATGAAGTTTATCTGGCTCACGGTTTTCCAGGTTGTGAAGAACCGTGAGCCAAATAAAGCATGGCACCAGCATATGCTTCTGATGAGGGCTTCAGCAAGCTTCCACTCACGCTGGAAGAAGAAGGGGAGCAGGCATCACATGGTACGAGAAGGAAGAGAGAGAGGGGAGGGAAGTGTCAGGGTCTTTTTTAACAATCAGTTCTTATGGAAACTAATAGAGTGAGAACTCATTCCTTACCACACGGACAACAAGCCATCCATGAGGGATTTTCCTCATGACCCAAAAGCAAGAGGCCCCACCTCCAACACTGGAGATCAAATTTCAACCTGAGATTTGGAGGAGACACATATCCAAACTGTATCTGATATTAATGTAGCTACTACAGCTTTCATTTGATTAGTGTTAGTATAATATATTTTTTCATCCCTTTTCCTTTAATCTATTATGTCTTTATATTTAAGGTGTGTTTCTTTTTTTTTTTTTTTTTTTGGTACGTGAATGTTCATAGCAGCTTTTTTCATAATAGCCCAAAACTCAAAATAAGCCAAATGCCCATTAGTAGGTGAATGTATTTTTTTTCTTTTTTGTTTATTTCAAAATATTACAGGGGTACAAATGTTTTGGTTACAGGTATCAATTTTGTTAGGCTTGAGTGATGGTTCTAAGTGTGCCCATCACCCAGACAGTGTTCATTGTACCCATTAGGTAGGTTTTTGCCCATCCCCTCCTCCTACCTCCCCCCTGCTTGATTTCCACTGAGTTTTACTTCCCACTGTGCACATGTGTGCTCACAGGTTAGTTACAATTCAATAGGGAGTACACGTGGTGTTTGTTTTTCCATTCTTTAGATACTTCACTTTGGATAATGGTCTCCAGTTCCATCCAAATTGTTGCAAAAGGCCTTAATTCATCCTTCTTCGTGGCTGAGTAGTATTCCACAGTATACACATACCACATTTTGTTAATATACTCATGAATTGATGGGCACTTGGGTTGATTCCACATCTTAGCAATTGTGGATTGTCTTGCAATAAACATTCAAGTGCAGTTGTCTTTTTGATAAAAACGACTTCTTTTCCTTTGGGTAAATACCCAGTAGTGGGATTGCTGGATTGAATGGTGGTCTACTTTAGTTCTCTGAGGAATATCCATACTGTTTTCCATAGAGGTTATGTTAATTTGCAGTCCCATCAACAGCATATAAGCATTCCTTTCTCTCTGCATCCACGCCAGCATCTGTTGCTTTTGAACTTTTTCATAAAAGCCATTCTAACTGGGGTAAGGAGATATCTCATAGTGGTTTTAATTTGCATTTCCCTGATAATTAGTGATATTGAGCATTTTTCCATGTTTACTGGCCTTTTGTCTATCTTCTTTTGAAAACCTTCTGTTCATGTCTTTTGACCACTTTTTAATGGGGTTTTTTCCTTGCTGATTTGCTTAAGTTCTTTGTAGATTCTGGTTATTGGCCCTTTATGAGATGTATAGCTTGCAAATATTTTCTCCCACTCTATAAGTTGTCTATTTGCTCTGTTGATTATTTCCTCAGCAGTGCAGAAGCTTTTTAATTTAGTCGAGTCTATTTATTTATTTTTGCTGTTGCTGTGATTGCCATTGGGGTCTTCTTCATAAATTCTTCACCTAGGCTGGTATCTAGAAGTTTTTCCAACATTTTCCTCTAGAATTCTTATGGTTTCATGTCTTACATTTAAGTCTTTTATCCATCTAGAATTAAGTTTTGTGAGTAGTGACAGCTATGGATCCTGTTTCATTCTTCTGCATGTGGCTATCCAATTTTCCCAGCACCATTTATTGAATAGGGCTTCTTTTCCCCAGTGTATATTGTTGTTTGCTTTGCCAAAGATCAGTTGGCTGTATGTGGATGGTTTTATATCTGGGTTCTGTTTTCTGTTCCATTGACCTATGTCTCTATTTTTGTGCCAATACCATGCTGTTTAGGTTACTGTAGCCTTGTAGTATAGTTTGAAGTCTGGTAATGTGATGCCTCCAGATTTGTTCCTTTTCCTTAAGATTGCTTTGGCTATTCGGGCTCTTTTCTGGTTCCAAAGAAAGTGTAGAATTATTTTTTCTAGATTGGTGAAATATGACATTGGTATTTTGATGTGGGGGTTTCACTGAATCTGTAAATCACTTTGGGTAATAAGGATATTTTAACAATGTTGATTCTACTGATCCATGAGCATATGTTTTTCTATTTGCTTGTGTCCTCTATGATTTCTTTCCTCAGTGTTTCATAGTTCTCTTTATAGATATCTTTTACCTCCTTGGTTAAGTAGATTCCCAGGTATTTTATTTTCTTTGTAGCTATTGTGAATGGTATTGAGACTTTGAGTTGACTCTCAGCTTGACTGTTATTGGTGTACAGGAATGCTGATATGTAACCTAAGACTTTGTTGGATTTATTTATCAATTCCAGGAGTCCCTTGGTAGTCTTGAGGTTTTC